GAAAGTTTAACATAATGAGCTGAAACTTCACAGGGGTGTTGAGAAATATAAGAAGAACACTATGTTGTGGTTTGAAATAATTTTATTCAGTTTTACCACTTTTATCGAACTTTTCGTTWTTCAATGCCAAGTCTAGTGTTTGGGCTACCTGTGGTAGAATTAGGTAATTATATAGACTGCGAATTTGTTCGCAAATTGTTTGACTGTGCAAGCAAACATCAGAAATGGTACACTTTGCCGAAATTCAAGAAAATGACATGTCTAAAACCTCAAATTGCTGGAATGGCCGTTTCCTAATTGAAAACATCTAGAGTGGAAAGGATACGAAAGGAGATTCATACAGAGCCAGTGGCCAATGGTCTCAAAATGATGGTGGGTCAGGCCTTATGTGGGGAGTGGGAGTGCTGGACAGGGGTATTTCCCCGGGCTCGGGGGTATTTCAAAGTTGTTGAACCTTTTTAAGCTTTGTTAGATAAACTTGATAACATTACCATGATAATTTATAATTTATTAGTAATTTATTTTTATAATATTTCTGTTTGTTATTACGGCCAGCGGATTTCTCATTTGAAAAAAATCATGACATTCATGTGATATGTACCGTATCCGTCAGTTTGTCCAACATGTGTGTCCGTGCTCTAACGTCTTGTRTATTGGCTTTTCTAGTTGTGGTTTTCGTTAGCTSTGAYCCACAATGCGAGTTGCCTAGCGAGGAATACAGATTTGATTGTTTCCCAGATGACACAGGCAATGGAACAGCCCAATCAATTTGTGAGAAACGTGGTTGTTGTTGGCAGAAAGCGAAATCTCGCCAGTTTACAAACAGAAATCACAGCAAATCCGTTGAATTGCCTCTAAACGTTCCTTACTGTTTCTTTCCTACCAATTATGGCTATCAATTAGTTAGCAAAGCAGAAACAGATACAGGATATAAGCTAGCACTAGTACGTCAAGGAGGTGGTGGGCCATTTGGAGCCGACGTAGAAAAACTGACAGTTGATGTATTTTTAGAGGATGAAAATAGACTTCATTTTAAGGTGAGCCAACTGACTGACTATTGCATGGAATATGATTTTGTAGTAAATAGTTGAAGTGCGAAATAAAATAAGAGATGATTTAGGGTGGAAGTTACATTCAGGTCAGTTTTCAATTAGCAGGGTCAGCTGACCTTGTTGTGCAAGTGCAGGCTCAGGCACAACTTGATTAATTGTTATTTTTGTATTTATTTGCATTGTGACATTTTTTCCTTGAAATGTTTGGGTGCACTGCAGTAATTATAGTACTAGAACTAAGTTGCTCAAACAATATTAGAAGTTTTGTTTCACAGGTTTAAATTACTTCACTCTACAGCCATAAGCTAATACAATGCGCGCACTCCACAGAAAAATTTAGTAGAATATTCTATGTGCTAAAACACATCTAGCACTGCATTACAGTACGTTTTTATCATGTCATTTAATCCCATTTTTTATTCATTTTTCTAAGATATATGACCCAAATAATGACAGATATGAAGTACCAATACCTACGCCCAAAGTAAGCCAGAAGAGTGCTTCACAGAATTATGATGTCAGCTTCACAACATTTCCCTTTGGTATTGCAGTTAAAAGAAAATCAACTGGAACTGTCATGTAAGCTGTACTTGGGCTACCTGTGTTTTTTACCACAGGAAGCCCAAATTATTCAAATGAATGTATTGTTTTGGTAATTGATGTCAACAATGTGTGTATATTTTAAAACAGATTCAATACAACCATTGG